CCCTGAGCCCTCCAGGTGGATTTCTGCTCCCTCCCTGGGGGAGGAAATGTGGGTCCTCCTTGTTCCTCTGAGCCCAGCAGTCAAGATCAGCTGAAGCTACTTGGAAATCCAGCATGGCACCATTTTCTGCATGTGCGTTTGCTTTACAGAATACAAAATGAAATACCTCGAGCTGCCATTTATTTCAGTGGAGCTTGCTGTGGATCAGTAGGGTTCCCAATGCTCTCATAAAATTGATCTCCCATGCCTCAGGTCTGGTTCAAGCAAGATAGGCAAGAATCTCCTGGGCACTGGCACGGCCTCCTCCCTCCCTCCAATACCAGGGGAACCACAGCTCCCTCCAAAGAAGCTGTGTGCTGTAGATTTCCCAGGTGTACAATAGCGTGGGCCCAGATTAGACTTCAGATTTGATCACTAAAGGCATTACTCTCCAAGAAATCCATCTCTGGCTGGAGCTCTCAGAGAAGAGTAGGTCTCCAGGGTGGGAGAGTGCTGGGGGCACACTTGTTTTGGAACCTTTCCATTTACCTCTTCTTGCTACACTGTCTTGAAGTGGCAAAAACTCTCCCCATCACCCACTGACCAGTGGGACCTGAGAAATAAGGACTTCCAAGCTTTTTACAATGGCTATTTGAACGTGAATTTTTAAGAGGCTTGGAAGTTTTCTGCCATAGCAATAGAGAAGGGCATGGATGTTGTATTAGTCCATTGTCTTATTTCAGGGACAAAATATCCAACACCCACAATTGAAAGAACGGGAAGTTTAATTTGGCTTGTGGTTCTGTGGTTTCGGCATGCAGGTGGCTGACTTCAAGGTAGGAGAGGCATGGGAGAAGAGTGTTGTGGAGGAGAGCTACTCAACTCATGGGTCAGGAAACAGAGGGACGGGAGGAGCCAGGGACAAGAATGCGCCCTTCCAGGTCCCACCCGTGACAACAGCGCACGTTCACCATGAGCTCACGCATGGGTGGATCCACTGACGAGCAGTGTCCCTGGGACCCAGTCACTTTGCAAAAGGCCTCCTCTGAATAGGTGAGACTCGGGGGGACATTTCAGATCTGAACCACACCAGATGTGAACGCAGAAAGTCTGAAGTCAGCCCTGTCCGGCTCCTGCCCACCCCTGCCCAGGCCCTGCACTGTGGCACTCGCTCACCTGTCCTAGCTTGCTTCCTGGGGTACACTGTATGGTCTCCAGTGGAAACTGGACTCCACCCTTTCAAGGCACTGGGCCGTGAGGCCACAGCAGGGAGGCCCAGGCTGGTACTGTGTGAAGCCAACTCTGTCCCGCACAACCCAGTCTCTGCTCTTTCCAGTCATGTGTGCAAATCCAGGCAGAAATCTCCTGAAGGCTGAATGGCAGGTGGGCTGTGAGACATCACACAGTCCATGTCTCTGACAGATTCCTCAGGATTTACTTTGTAAAGGAGGCCTTTGAAGAGAATGCTGTGGAGAATCCTACTCTAAAAACGAGGCTGATGGGATCACAGAGCTTTGTGAAGTGTGAGTCTAAGTGCTCTCTTCCCAAACAGAGGTGGGCGGTGGGACCAGATGTCAGTGACGAATGGACCTGTGCAGAGGACACTACCAGGCTGTTTCCAGGAGGGCAGGCGTGCACCACCTGTCATAGCCCACCAGTGATGGAGCTGGGACTCTGCAGTGCTTTGCACACCTGCCCTGTACAAGGCACGCCCTGGGTCCACACTTTCCAGCTGGAAGTGACTCCTGGACAGTCCTCAGGCCCAGACCTAGGTGTGCTGAGCCCTGGTTCTGACTCCACATTCTGGGATGGAAACCAACCTCCTCCTTTCGCTGGTGATCCACCCCGTCCTGTCAGTGAATCTCTCACAAAAGGAGTAGTTTTGTGGACAAATAATGATGCCCCCAGAGACTGAAGAATTAGAAATATTTTGCTTTGGGTATAATTATTGTGAGATAAACATTTTACATTGGTTACTTTGAATGTTATGTACAGCATTAGGCATATTTGGTTTTTTCTTTTGGGTATTGATAATTACTAACCCAGCATTAGCAGAGATGAAAAATCCAGGGTGAGCACTAAGCAGTATTATAAGAAATCCAATCTTATATTCGGCCATAGGCTAATTACAGGGGCTGGGGAAGGGAGTAGAGATGGCCGGGTACAGAGATTTAATTTCAACCCATGTTTATTCCTTATTGTTTCCCAGCCCTGTACTCTACGGGGCTTCCCAACCATCTAGCAGGGGTCAGCCACACAGCATACAACCACACCCTGAGGAATTCCCTTGTGATGAAAGGGAGCTTGCAGGAAGTGGAGGTGAGGGGCAAAGGGGGAAGCACACATGTGAGGAACCCGTGAAATCCAGCAAAGCAGCTGTGATCAAAGACACAAGTAGAAATCAAATGTCTATTTTCTTCACAAACCCGTGGAGGAAAAAGTGCCAATTTCAGCACGCTCAATGCTCTAAAACCCGTTCTCTGAAAAGCTACAGTTACATATTTCCATGCGGCACAGAGTACGTGAAAATAAACTTGTGCTCTGACAAAGAAGCAGACAGACAACTGTGCCATGTCCTGCTTCAACTTGGAGGAAGAAAATGGGTGCCCTTAAACAAGGGCGCGGCCTCAGCACTTGGCCTCTGCTGCTTTTCATCAGCATTCCCAGAATGTGTTGCTGACTTTTATTTGCAATGAGACAACCATCTTGCCTTCTGGGGAAACTCCTTGGGAGAAGCCCCCATACACAAGGGGTGACCAAACACTATAGTGAATGTTTAAATTTAAAAACTCTTCTTTCAGTAAAAAACACATTGCCAAAAACCATGAGATAAGTATGTTCAAAGCAAGGGGAACTACTTGCAGGGAGATTAATGCAATGTGTCTTTTACTGTAATAAATCTTTCTATTTCAACATCCACCATATTTGTGCATCACATGTTATCGATCAACAGTTACTGAACTTTCTGGCAAGTGAAAACATCATGATGTGTCCTCAGCCACCTCATTCATCCGATCTGCACCATACAACTTCTGACACTTCCCCAAGGTCAAAACGACCATGAGAGATAAATGTTTTGAGTTGATTCAAGACATGGAGGCAGCCAGGACACCACAACTAAGGACAGTAGTGAATGAGGCCTCCAGAGCTGTTGCAGGAAGTGGGAAGGATGATGGGAAAAGCGCGTTCAAAGTGAGGGGAGGATTTTGAGGTGGATGAATGGGCACATACCCTTTACTGTAATAAAATGTTTTAAACATTCACCATATTTTTTATAATACCACTTATATCTAAATGATTAGCGTAGTTTTGTTTTCCTTGGTTCATGTGTAACACATGACAGATGGATGTTGGGTCAGAAGTGAACTGAGGGTCCAAAACCTTACAGGGTTTCACTTAGAAATTGTTAGCGCATTTGACTTTGGGGTACCCCAAACAAAAAAACAAAACCAGAAAATTTGGGGTGTCTCTTAATCTTTAGGACTTTATAAACTGTTCCGTGAATGTTTCCAAAGTTCATAAAGCAGCAGTAAAAAGTGTGACATTCCCAGATGCAAGAGTACCTGTGGAATTGGCCCAGCCCTGGAGGTGGGCCTCATTTTCGAAAAACTAGGACCAGAAAGAAATGTCCAGAACAAGCCAAAAGGTCCTCCTAGGCCACAAGTCAACCAGAGAAGAGAAACCCTGGCAGGTGCTCTAGAAGCCAGCCAACATCCTTAAACCCCTGCCAGGTTTGAAAGGACACCCTAAAATGAGGCAGGGCTCCTGGGGTGTTTGACTGTAATTTCTCTCAGAGTGGAGCTGATCTGATCTATTGCATGAATTGAAGGTGCTCTCGCTTTACTTCCAATCATCCTGATAGTTGCCGACCTTCTGCCATCGAATAGGCATAAACTAGTTTGCTAAGCTTTCTATTTCATCAAAACCCTTCTATTAAATGTCACCACCATTGAAAAGGGAAACCCCTTAAACTTCAGCTAGGTGGACATTTCTGAGAGCCAAATAATGGGATTTAAGTCCTCAAATAAAATAGCTCACAGTTTGCACTTAAGTGGGTGCAAGTAGAACAGGAAGTGAGATGGAAGGATGGAAAGGAAGTAAGATTCTCCAATGTTTACTCTTTTTAAAAGTTAGCTTTATTAAAATGTAACTCATCCACCACAATTCTCCCATTTAAAGTGGAAAATTCAATGTTATTTAGTATGCTCAGAGTTGCACAAGCAGCAGCACAATTACTCTCAGAACATTTTCATCTCTCTCCAAATAGAATCCATACCAGTCACTTTCCACTAACCTAAACCTCCCCTCACCCCACCCTAAGTGACCACTAATGCATCTTTCTGTCTCTATAGAGTATGTCCGCTCTAGAAAATTTGTATAAATAGAATCATGAAATACATGGCTGTATCAGTCACTTTCCTCTTGTTGGGACCTAATATATCCAACACCTACAACCTAAAGGAGGAGAGGTTTATTTGGGCTCACAGTTTCCAGTGGATTCAGTCCACTGCAGTCTCCAAGCCAGAAATGGCATGGCAGAGGGGCCTGGCAGAGCAAAGCTGCTCGACTCACGGTGGCCAGGAAGCAGAGAGAGAAGGGAGGAGCCAGGGACAGGAACCCACCCTTCTGCCCCAGTGACCCGCCCCTGGCTATCAGGCCCCATCTCCTAACAGCACTTTCAGCTATGAACTAATCAATGGATGAATCGACTGATGAGTACAGCACCCCATGATCCAGTCACCTTCCACACACAGGAGACTTTTGAGGCTCGTGTTGAGTCTAAACCATAACAGTGGTCTTTCCTGTCTAGGTTCTGTAGTTTGGCATAGTGTTTCCATGCATCACCTCTTTTACTGCTTTGTTGGTGGAAAATGTTCCACTGTCTGCACACCCACATGTGCTGTTTTCTTTGATCGGCTGATGGACCTTCAGGTTGCTTCCATTTTTTGTGTCAGAAGCAAAGCTCCCTTGAACACTCATGTACCAGTTTGGGGTGAACATGTTTTCTTTTTTATTTGCAGGTCCCTACCAGTGACTCTAAGAAACTGCCCTATTGCCTGCCAGGGAGCCACACCATGGAGCCTTTCTAATAGCAGCTCTTGGGACTCCACATCCTACACATCCTTGCTCACTCCTGTCACCCTTGCCTCTGTCACTGTAGTCATTCTGGATGGTAGAAGGGGTTTTGATTGGTGTCTCTGAGAGCTAATCATGTGGAGCTTTTTTTCATGTAGATATTGATATTTGCATATCTTCTTTGGGTGGATGTCTATCTGAATACTTTGCCCATTTTTAAAATGACATAATTTGTTTTATTTTTTTATTTATTCTTTTATTTTTTATTTTTTATTTTTTGGTACCAGGGATCAAACTCAGGCCCTTGTACTTGTGGGGCAGGTGGCGGCACCACTGAGCTAAATCCCCAGCCCATGTCCTTTTATTTTTGACAAATATTTCTAATATATTCTAGATAAACATCTTCCATGAAATCTATGCAATTTTTGTGCTCTTTCCTTCTTTCCTTTTGGTACTCTCACTACAAATGAGTTGGCGTGCCTAGTTATCTCCGTATCTCTTGGGGGATCTATTTTATTCATTATTTTTCTATCTTCAGATTAGAGACTGTCTATTAACTTACCTTCAAGTTCGTGATTCTTCTGTCAGTCCAAGTGTCCCCTTGAGCCTGTGCCATCTGAGACCCGTGCCAGCCCCTTCTCATCTACCCACGCCTTGCCCGCTGGCTGAGCCCGGCAGGCCCAGTGTCCACGATCACGGGAGAGCTGCTCATTTTCTGCTCTGTGGCTGAAATAATGACAGTCTCTCTTTTTACTGCCCTTCTAATGGCTTCATGTTCTGAGTTGCCGTGGTATGATTAATGACCAACAGGGTCTTCTTTGGCACAGGCACCATTCCCATCCATCACTCCGAGGGTGGTGGGTGAACTGGCAGGTTAACGAGGCTGCTCACATCTGCCGCAGAGACGCACAATGCAGCCCCACAAGGGACCGTGTGGGGAGGGGACACCTGCTCTCCAGAGGTACGGAGCCCCAGAATGATCCCCTCATCTCAGAGCGGGAGGGCACATCTTAAACGTGGGGCTTTTACCCCAACAGCATGTCCTACATATGCAGCATTTTACTTAACTCCTAAGGGCTCCAAAAGGTGTGTATACCAATCTGTAAGATGCAGACAGAATTTCCTTGAAATACAAAGCACATAAAACACAGTGAACGGCAGTACACATACACTCCAGCTGTGTAGCTGTGACTGTTTGACAGGGACCTAAATCAATGGCCGAGGCCCCAGCCACACGTGTGTGTTCGAAGGTGGAGGGATGGGCTCACACTCTCCCGAGCACGCCCTGCGTTTCTCCCCAAGCCTGTGGTCACTTCAGGGCATGCCAACCAGGTTCTTTCCTCTTCAGTAATGAGGGTGCCTGTGGGCTCTGGTCAAACTGCAACCCACGGATACTACAGCGGCCCATGCCAACCGGAGGGGCTCGATCAAGGCACAGATTATGTCTCTCCTGTCTTCTCCACCTCCCACCCTACTTTCTCTTCCTCCCTGGCTTAGGAGCTCGGTGCCGTCCGCCTCCATGGATGTCCGACCCTCATCTCATATTCTCCCAAACCCAGTGTGCAGCACTTCTTGTATTTTATCATAACTGGGTGCTTAGCGCTGGCTGCCATGGTCAGAGACAACAGGCTGATGTTTTGCTGCTGGCTCATTTACACAATGCAGTCGGTCACCATCTTCACCTGCCCTGACACAGAGGTGGGCACTGTCACACCAGGACTGACAGTGAAAGAGCACAGAGCCAAAAGCTATGGAAACTAGGTGCAGAGCACGCTCTCCACTTTCTCTTGTCCCAAAACAAGAACAGAAAGCCCAGGGCACATTTTGATGATTCTAGATACAAGCTTCCTTAATGGGAGAAACATGACACGTACAACTTGCTCAGTGTTTATAAATTTCTATTGGAGACTCTCCTTTCATATGTTCCTAAGGTAAAAGCGAGGGCTCTAAATACATAAATTAGTGATACCACTTAATTCACACTTTTAAGAGAAAGTTGTAACCTCATTATGCAGCATGCTGGTAAAAACATAAGAACTAAAGCGCTCTTTCTAACTTCATGTTCTTTCTTTCACTTCAATGCAATGTATGATGAACACTGTAGAAAATACTCAGATAACAGGATGGAGCAAGGCCCCATTGTAAGTCATGGACCCCACTTTTCCCTGAGGGTGCAGAAAGCTTGAAGCTTCGGGTGCCACTGAGAGTTCGCCAGCAGTTTGTAGAAGAAAGACCTCTGGAGAGGAAGAGGAGAGGACATAAAAGGCCTCAAAACGGTGAATCCGACAGAACACTGAGAGGAAAGAAGGGAGGAGGGGCGTTTGAGGAGCTGCCTGGCCTCCCTCGGGGAGGGGAGACATTGTCTGTGACTCCCGAAGGCACCCACGGGAATATTCCCCAATGCACTTGAGGCAGCTCTGAGTGGGGTTAGTGTAGCCTGCAGCTAGCTCTTCTGGACATCATGAGTTAGGATTTCATGGAAGTTGTGGGCCGCTCTTGAAGGCATAACAAATAAAACATGGTCGATCCAGGCACAATGTGGTGTTTCTTTCCACAGCCCCTTCCCAAGTGGAAGATTCTTTCTGCCCATCCACAGTCCCAGCTGAAGGAGGAGACACCAGAGGCCAGTTTCGACTACAGACTTGACCCAAAAATGACAAAGGTCTAGGTAACCTGTGGGTGAGGACCTAGGCCTGGGGGGGAAGCAAAGAATCTCGAGTTATTTTCTCGAGTGCTTCTTGGGTGAGTTACCAAGGGGACCAGCGTGGGGCAGATGGCGGCAGGCCAACCTGAGGTCTGGCAGACAGTGGACGTGAGGGGAGCCCAGGGGACACAGGGGGACATGGTTGGGTGAGTGGCAGGAGCAGAGGTTGGAGGAAGCTGCACTGTGAGGGACAATTGTGGGGACTCCGCCCCCGCACAGCCCACTATCCCGGGTGTGCCATCTTTCTGTGGCTGCTGTAACAATGCTTGGTGGCTCAGAACATTACATGCTTGTCTTTCAGCATTCTGAAGTCGCAAATCCAAAATGATTCAGTAGGGCAATGCCAAGGAACTGAAAGTGCGCCCCACTAGAGGCCCCGAGATCACCTGTCGCCCAGCCTCTCAGATTCGGGAGCAAAGTTTTTTGCTTTGTTGGTCCCAGCCCTTCCTGTACCTTCAAGACCAGTGGTGCAGCACCCTCGCCGCCAGCTCTCTGTCCATCACTCGGCCTTCGACTCTGCTCTTCCTTCTGAATCACATCTTCCTTTGCTGCTCTCTTCTATATCTCTGGGTACGTTTAAGACCCACCTGGAGCATCCAGGATACTCTTCCCAACCCAAGATCCTGGATCTCACCTCATCTGGAAAGAAGTGTCTTCCCTAGAAGGCACCCTTCATAAAGGACTGGTCCTGGACCTCTTTGGGAGATGTTTGCTCACCAACCACACTAAAACTTTCTGATTCTGGTTCTCATTGAACTCAACCACTCGCTCAACCTTGTGGGGTCAGCAGCACCCTTGTCTCCCTTCCACTATGGAGGACCCTGGAAGGGCTCCAGCCAATCTTGCTTTGTGTTTCTACTGTACTTGAGGCTCCTGGGGCTACAGGAGAGGAGGGTCAGGTTACAAACTGAAGGGGAACAGTCATGGCAAATATAATGGCATCCTTGGAAAGCTTAAATATTTCTGTTAGAAAACTTTAGATCTAATAAAAATTTCATGAATTGGCAAGACCTAAAATAAATATACCTAGAATCAATTTCATTCTTCCGTACCAGCAGAAACCTAGAATGCATCATTTATGAGGAAATTCTATTTACAACAGAAACAAAAACATGAAATATTTAGAAACAAATTTAAGAAGTGACACATGACCTTTATATGAAAACAACTACATCATACTGGGAATTCTAAAAAGCCTTAAATCAAGAGTTTGCTCTGCCGCGTTCTGGGTGGGAATGGTAGATGTGATGATGGCAGTTATTAGCAAATGACTTGGTGGACTCCACTGAGTTTATGTCTACCCTTTCAAAGATCATTAAAGAAGGGATTTAAAACTCATCCAGAAGAATAATACTATAAGTGTTTTGACAGAAGTAAAACCAAGAGGATGAGAAACAGCCCCAATGGGCTGTGGAATGCCATGGACCAGGGAGGGAAGCATAGCACATCTATCGCATGCTAGCCCTGCACCCTGAATAAGCCTCTCCACTCTAGAGAATTTAGGGCCCTTCTCTGTGGACCCAAGATGGGTCAACATGCGGAGATGCACTCTGTAAGGCAATCCTGCAAAGCGCTTAAATAGAGCTGACAGCAGTGTCTTCACTCTGGCCCTTGCAGTGTTGTCAGAAGTGGAGCTGGTGATGCCGGGGACAATGTTTCAGTGTGAAGGCTTTAAATACTACTGTCCAGGATGATAGAAAGTGGGGAACATCAATGCCTTTAACTTAAGGTAGTTATGTACAATATTTAACTAAAACCAAACATGTGCATGAAAGTCAACTTGGCTGGATCTGATCAGCCATGTTATATGCATGATTGGAATATCACACTGAACTCCATTAATATGTACATATTAATCAAAAATGAAATAGAATATACTTTAAAAGATGCTTTCAAGGGGATGCTGCACTGTAAGTCTCCTTTGGCCAGCCCATCTTCCTTCCCCTTCTCCCTCCTACAGCAGTCTTCTTGTGGTCCATGGCTGTCGTGATTTGGATCTAAAATGTTGATCCAGTCTTACGAGTTCAGAGGGGTACTTTGGGAAAGTTATTGGATCACAGAGGTACTGTACTTATCAGTGGATTCATCGATTGATGAGCTGGTGGCTCAGAGGGGCATGGCTTAGGAGAAGCGGCCTGACTGGAGGTGGGGCCCTGGGGTGTGACCTGGAAGGTATTCTTGTCCTCAGATCCTCTCTTCTCTCTCTGCCTTCTGTCTGGCATGTAGTGAACAGCTGTCCTTGTCTATGCTCTTCTACCACCTTGCTTTTGCTTTGAGGCCAATCAACCATGGACTGAACCCACTGGAAGCTGTAAGCCAAATAAACCACTCCTCTTTCATGTCGTGGGTGTTGAGTATTTTGTCCCAGTGACAACACCCTTATCCCTCTCCCCGGGTGCTCCACCGAACTCTCTATACATTTCTTAACTCACATGCCCACTTTGGTGTCTTCTCCCCAGGGCATCTCCAATAAACACAGAATGTGAAAATATTGCCCACACTGTTCTGCTCTATACCATTAGTGCCCTGAAAGCAGAAATTCTTACCAATATACTAAGGAAAGCCAAAATAAACTATATTCAGGCCACAAACAGTCAAATAAATGCAGATTAAACTGATGCTGTAATATTTTATGTTTCTTAAATTAACCAAATAAATATTGCTGATTAGTTGATTGGGAGGCTGGTAGAAATCACAGGCTCCTAATGCTCATCATTAGCATGCCACTTCCCAAAAACAGTTTGGCAATACGAATAAAGGTCGCTAAGCTTGATCCAGAAGTGCCCTTGCTAAGGGCTGACTCTAAGGAAATCAGTTAAAATGAAACAAAGCAAGAGCATAACTGGTATACACTGATTTTTTTAACCGTGTCACTAACTTGAAAGTAAATATAGGACATTTCCAACCACAGGAAACTGGCCACTTAGATGGGCTCGGGCATCATTTAGGAAAGAAAATGCTGACATTGAGTTGCAACAAGCTACAAGCAGCCCGGTTAAGAAACAGACATGTGGAGAAAGTTGTACTTTTCCAGATCTCGATCTTCAGAAGTCTTTTAGGCCTGGAGCCTTCCCTTATCTGTGGGAAAATTGATGGTAACCTCGTTGTCCTCAGAAGTTGATGTATCATGTATCCCTGGAGCAGGATACTTCATTTCTCCCTATTTGATAAGCAGGATTGAAATCTTGTTGGGATTCATTTTATCTCCTAAAGTGTGATGCTTGGGGACACACAGTCTATTTTGTTGATTTTCAGAGGGCAATGATTCTGAAACATTTTATCGATTTGATAATAGCTTTCCAGAGTACAGCAGAAAAAGACCACATTAAGTGTAAAAATCAATGGTAAGATGCATTCTGATTTCCAGTATGTTAAGAAGAGAACCAGTGTATACATTCATGTTGGAGACATAGCACGCAAAGGGCTAAGACTGGTTCCAAGGACTTGGTTTGTGTTCATCACTCACCCATGCAGGATGGTTGAAGCTTTTCTCTCTTACTACACAGTGGCCTTCGGTTTTGGAGACTGAGTCCAGGAAACACAGGTGAATTGTTAGCCCAGCACACTCACTTACACATATGCACACATTCTACATTTGCAGCAACGAAAATCCCATTAAAAACTCCATGCATTGTTTGTGTTGTGCATTTGATCTATTGGACTTTACAGTGCTGGATTTCTCTATACACTGTGAGTCATGGCTCCAGAATGAAAGATGGTGACCCAGGAAGAATCCTTGTCCTGGGTAAGGAGGTGATACCTGGCCTCCTCGAAATGCTTTTCAGTAAGTGCCTTGGGTGTCCTCAGAACTGCCCAGGTCACGGGAGGAGACAGTGGGGAGAGCAGCTGTCTGAGTAGAGGTCAAGGATTGCCCAGATGCACTTGGTCCCCCATGGCCTCATGAACCTCTCCTAGTTTTTACTGAGTGGGGTTGTTTGGTGAGGAGAGTGAACTTAACTAGGAAGTTCCTATATAACAGAGAGACAGAAGGCCGGGGATTTAGCTCAGCAGTTTTGCCACCTACTGCGCAAGCACAAGGACCCGAGTTCAATCCTCGGTACCAAAAAAAAAGGAGAGACGGACGGATCCATCCATTCATAGCACTTCAGAGCCCTGTGTCTTGCCCCTTCCCCATCACTGAACACGATATCTGATGCCCACAGGGGAGAGGAGGAGAGACTGGCTTTGGTCCTTAGTTTTAGCCCACGGTCAGCTCCTGCTGAGGCAGAAACAGATGGCAGAGGGGCATGGTGGAGCAAAGGGTGCTCAACCTAGGGCAGCCAGAAAGCAGGGAGAGGTGTGGGATGAGGAGCAAGAATACACCCTTTGGGGTCGAACCCGAGGGACCACCTCCAACCAGGCCCCACCTCTCAGAAGCACATCCAGGGTTAGGGTAGGGTCACCCCATGATCCGACCTCCCTTCCACACACGTGAGGATTTGGGGAGATGTTTTAGACCTAAACCCTAACACCGTGGAACACACATATTTGGGGGAATTTCTCCTAGAAGGATGGTAACGAGTTAGTAGACCTCTGCCTCCCTGCCTTGTTCAGTAGCCTCCTGCCTTCTGACACAAAGCAGGAGCCAAACAAGAGATCTGGGTGGAGCCCACGGTGGTTGGGTGAACTCATTTCAGTGCACTTTTGTGAAAAACTCTGGTACCCGTCTACACCGCAGCTCTCCACAGAATTGCAGGGACTAAAGAGCGGAGAGAGAGCTTTCCAGTCACTTGGGGAAAAAGACAAACTACTTAAGCTTTTCACTTAACTGTCTTGGTGCTTAAATTGATCGTAGATGGAAACTTTTAAACAAGTACAGTATCCAAAGGAGACAAGATAACAATATTTCATGCTTCATGTGAAACAAACTTCCGTATACTATATGTGGCTTAGTGATGATATGACATGCAGATCTGCTTTATATAAAAGGAAATTAAAACTTAGAAAGCTTGCATGGTGTGGTAGTAGATGTCAATAATCCCAGGTACTCACCAGATTGTAAGTTCAAGACCAGCCTGGGCAATTTAATTAGACTGTGTCTCAGAAAAGTAAGAACAAGGCCAGGGATATAGCTCAGTTATACAGCATTACTGGGTCAATCCCCAGTACCAGAAAAACAATAACACCTTAGAAAGCTTATGGTTCATTCAACTGTCACTCAGACGAAATAATAGAGAAAGAAGCTATGTCTATGAAACGCCTCTCTGGAACTTTTGGTTGGGTTTTGAAGTGGAGAAGAAGTTGAAGACTAATTCAGGAAGCTACTGGAATTAAATTGTCCTTTCAAACATGTAGATTGTGTATATTGTCACTGGTTGCTAATTGTCATCCACAAATTACTTTCATATTGTAAATTACAATCTTTCTTGGGTCATTTTCCATTTTCTATCTAATTAAGAGTTTGCTCTGTGAAATTCCTTCTGGCAAGTATATTGGATCTGCTACATCGATGAATAGATTACAGGTAACATAACAAAGCCTGTGTTCAATGGCCTTGCTTCTGTGATCAATGGAAACATGTCAATAATGTACTCTACAATGAATTTCCTGTACAAGACTTTAATTAAGAGACTTGGGAAATGATTCAACATGTCTGAGATGCAGCCATAGGTCTACTCAGTAAAGAGATAACCATGATGTGCCTTGTGTCCCTGGCTCTGGGGTCTCACAGCAGGGGCTCAGATTCTGACTCTCCCGCCTTCTGGTTGCATCTGCTTGTCTTATCAGGCTGCTACAATAAACTACCATGGGCTGGGAGGTTTAAATCACACATATTCGTTTCTCCCACTTCTGGAGGCTGGGAGGCCCACATCCAAGATGGCGGCAGATCTGGGGTCTGAGGAAGGCGCCGCTTGGTTGGCAGATGGTCACTTTCTTCTTTTACCCTCACAGCCTAGGGAGCTGAGAGGGAAACAAATTTGCTCTTGAGTA